CCAGTATCTGCCTGGGTATCTCTTGCTTCCTTTGCTAGGGCTGCCATAACTAAATACCACAGACTAGGTAACTCAAACAACAGAAATTTGTTTTCTCAGCTTTGGAGGCTGGAGGTCTAAAATCAAGGTGTTCACAGTTTAGTTTCTTCTGAGACCTCTCTCTAACCTGAAAGTGGCCACCTTTGTGTGAGGATTGGGATGATCCTGGGGATTGAACCCAGGGCCCTCACATTGAGCTACATCTCCAGACCTCTGAGACACGTTATCTCTAAGTTGCCCAGATGGGACTTGAATCTCCTCTTTAAAGTCTCTTTCTCTAAATACGGTCACAGCCTGAGGTACTGAGATTAGGATTTCAATATATGGACTTTTGAGAGATAGAATTCAGGTCATCACAACCTTCCGCACCCAGGTACTCCATAAAGCTCAAGCTCTTAGGTCAGGTGCACTGGGGTCAGATCAAGGTCATGTCATTTCTAGCTCTGTGACTTCAGCAGAGAAGCTACCCAGCCTGGATCTGATCTGTTTCTACCCATGAGGCAAGGATGGTGGTGGCTGCACCCCATCAGCTGCTTGCATACATGGACAATGGTGTAGTACCCCTAGCCTGCAGACCAAAAACCGTGCAGGACATGTGCTTGGAACTGTCATTTTAGTGCACACCTATAATCCCAGCACTCTGGGAGACTGACGCAGAAGGATTACAAGTTCAAGCTCAGCCTGAACAATTTAGCAACTTAGCAAGACATTGTCTCAAAATAAAATATATATATTAAAAAAGGGCTGGAGATGTAGCTCAGTGTGAAGGCTCTGGGTTCAATCCATCATACGACACACACACAAAAAGGTATCATTTTAATTTTGTGGTTTTTAAGCTATCTGTCTTTTTGCCATCTGTCACTTATAATAGCTGTGCTATTAGTCTGCTGTAGGCTCAAAAAGCAAATAATTCAATTTATGGAAGTATATGTAAATGCTCAGAGCTTAGACCAAAGGCCTGGGAAGAAAGAGCACAAACTTCAGCATGACCTCTTCTAGCATATATAGACTCTGCTGATATTTTTGCTGTTATTTCTACTTCAAATATAATGGCTATTGTCCATTTGCGATAAAAGAATCCCAATGTGAGCTGTAGCTGTGTCACTTTAATGACAAATTAAACATTAGTATCATAGATTTGTCTGAAAATTAGTGAGATCCTGTAAAAACCACCCAGTTATTGGAAGTGGTGGGTGGTGGTACCAGGAATTCAGCCGCAAGCAACAGTATGAAGAGGTCTGAGAGGTTGGTATGCCTCACAGAAAGTTTGCCACCAAAGGAAGCAGGACACTAGGGACTGCTCCTAGTGTTCCTTCTGAGCTTTTTTTCTAAAGCAGGCCTCAGCACAGTTCAGAAAATAAATATTTTAAGTTGTGTGGTCACATTAGTTTCCATCGCAACTACTGTATTCAACCCTGCCACTATAGCCACAGAGCAGCCATAAATGACACATGGACAGGAATGGCTTTAAGCCAAAAAACCTCTTGCAGATGATGAAATTTGATTGTCATAAAATTTAAATGTGTCAGGAAATGTGATTTTCCCCCCAATCGTTTGAAAATATAAAAACAATGTGTAGGTTGGGTCATACAAGAATAGGTGGTGGCCAGATCCAGCCCAGCAGCTGATGTGTGCTCTATTCTAAAAGCTCCACAAATATGTATGTGTTGATGGTAACAGCACCTTTCTCTTCCTCACAACCATCTCAAAAATGGAGATCAATCCAGCACACCCAGATTACCTTTCCCTCCTCTCTCTCTCTCTTTTTTTTTGGTACCAGGGATCGAACTCAGAACCTTGCACTTGAGAGGGGCAGGCAAGGTGCCACTGAGCTAAATCCTGACCCTCCCTCCTCTTTTTGAAAAAGCCAACAACGCTTCAGTAGCTCCTGACTAAACTAAATCAAAGATCACTGCAAACAAACTCCAACTAGTTCTTTTCCTGGATACTTTAAGAGTTTTCATACATCTCTCTGCAAACAGGAATAAGGTAGCATTCTGAAGTAACTCATCATGGCTGCCAATAATGGAAACAGGAAGCTGGAAGCTATCCTTTATTGGTTGGGGGGAAGACAAAATATGAAACTTATATGGGAACTACTGTGTTCCCCTTTTACTGTTGTACTCCCTTTCCCTCTGAAAAGCTCATGTGTCAACTCTCTTCTCCATTCTCACATGATTCCCATGTGAGGGTCCCTATGTCTTTCTTGAATCAACGGTGCTGGAGTTCAGGACAGGTTACTCCAAAATATGGCACCATGACATTTGAGAAAACAACAGAAACAAAAAGCTTTTCTAATCCCCTCCTCCTCACTGCTCTTCCTTGAAACAGGCCATACAATATTCTCTGACCTTCCTTCAAGGAACCCACATTACACCCAGAGGAAAGGAATGTCCTTATCCATTGCTGAAGGCTCCTGTGTCACATAAAACTCCTATTAAATAAATGTGTCTGCTTTTCTTTTTGTCAACCTGTCTTTTATTATTGGTGACTCAGCCACAAGCCTCGTAATGGGGGAGGCAAAAAAAAAAAAAAAAGAAAACCTACTCTCTTCTATAAATGGAAGTAAAGAGATGTTCAATTGTTTGTTATAAAGAATCTGGAGTCTCTGGCAAATAGAAAATGAAGAGAACATTATTGCATCGAGACAACCTAAGGCTTCTTCCAAAAAGATCATGAAGACGATACAGTCCCTTCCAGAAACAGAAGCTTGGCCTTTTTAGGGTAAGAAGATTCTGACACAAACGCGCTCATAAACCTATATTACAACCACAACTGGCAAGAACAGCATCTTTGTGATCCCCATCATTAGTGTTCCAGACAAGCCACGGAGTGACTGCACCAATTAACTGGCTGCCAATTAACTCACTGATTGCAACTAACATGGCTAGAAAAGTTAAAAAGAACACATGACTAATATCTACCTGAAAGAGGAGCAACTCCAATTACAGTTGTCCAATATTCATCCAGAAAATATTTTCCTAAGAATGAACTATTCCAGCTTGAATCTAAAAATTGGCTGCACTTCTGCCACAAAAATCAGTTTTGAAGCCATGAGGGCTATCAAATACGCCCAATAATGGCTCAGTGCAAAACCAACAGAGGAGTGCCTTTGATTCAGAATGGTTTTATTCATAACAGGAGTTCACTGATCTGCTAGTTTTACAAACCAAGAAGCACCTTTTCATTAGGCTTATCCCGAAGTGCCCCTTGCACTGATTTCCTAAATGAACCCTTGTTTTGCATGAATCCAGACTTTCTTAGGAACTACAATGCATTCTGAATACCAATAATAAAATGTCTATCCCTACCACCTTTTTTAAAGGAACTGCACTTTTTCTTGGATACACCAACGTGACATTTAATTAAGTACATATGATACTGACAGTAAACCCTGCCTAGAAAAAGCAAACATGTTCTTTTCCTAGTAACACTCTTCTCATTCCTGTCTTGACTTCTAAGGTACCATTAGTGAGAGGGTTCATCATTCCCCTAAATGCTCACCCAACCCTGTGACCCAGCTGTAGCCCAGTGGAAATACTTCTGTGAAGAATGAATGATTGTCGCTTTAGCACAAACATAATCCAAAGAGAAAGCAAGATGACTGCTGGCTGATCTGAAGAACAGAACTAGATAAAGACACTGGAGGCAGTACCTGCTGAAATAAAAACTAGAGTAATGATGGCAAAGGAGCAGACATTCTCTGGAAAGTGAGATAACAGGTTTGTCTTGTTTAGGCCTACATTTAACACAGTTTTTTAAAGATCAAAATACAAGCCAGGATTCTACCGTTTGTTTCAGGATAAACTTACATCAGTTTAGTAATTCACTCCAGCCTTTTATGTAATGTTATTACTCATTATGGAATAACTGCCAGGGCAATCAACTCGACATAGCTAAAGGAGATTATGAACAAAGCCTGGGAGGCAGAGGGTGTGGGGAGGAAGAAAGGAGTCACACAGGTGAGGTTGATTCACCTGTGTTTGGGGGGGGGGGGTTACAAAATGTTCCTGGCAAGGAAATCACATGGCCCAGATTCCCAGACTTCACTGGTAACTAGGAAGTGTGTGGCCTTGTGCAAACCAGAATGGATTGTTCCTAAGACTGGGGTCTCCTGGATAAAAGAAATAGACTGTATTGGACACCCTTTGCGATTCTTTCTGGTGTCTAAACACCTGTTAATACCTCCACCCAAGCCTGTGCACTTCAGTTAGACACGGCTGGGAAAATTCTGCCTTCTTTGAGCTAATCCACCGCGGTGTGGGCACCCGGGCATGGATCTGGTTTCTTTGCACCTCCAGAAGTCGCTCAGTTTCCGAGCGTCCTGCGGAGGTGGCGCTCCAAAGTTGACCACTAGCCGCGCATACCTAAAGTTGAAATACAGTAACTGCTGAATCAAGATGCCCCATTTTGACGGACCGTAGGCCTTTGGATGCTGCCCCACCCCCACCCCCAAATGTGAAAAGGAACCCGTTCATCCTGCTGGCTCAGAGGTCACAGAGTGATGTCATTGAGCTGCCCCCAAACCGCCTCCGAGGTACAAAAGAGCTGGAATATCTATGCCCGCTCGAAGACACAGTCCGGAAGGTGAGCTGTGAAAGTCATTACTGGATTCTGCGGCTTCGGCCCTCTAGGCTGGGATCAGGAGGAAGGTGAGCGCACCCGGAGCTCTGGATAGTTCCGTCACCCCTCGGCCGGCCAGAATGCTATATTGATTCAACGGATGGCCCGACTTAGTGTGTCCAGAATAAAGACAGTCTGTGCGGCCACTCGAGACCACTTCCCAAGAGTTGCGGGCGGCGACACCCAAGTCGCGCCCCGTGGTCACCTCGCCGGCTTCCGGCTCCCCAGGTCGCCGCCGAAGGGGCGGGGAGGGGGAGGGGCGGGGTCCGAGCCCCAGGCGCCGCAGCGGGGTGGGGGCTGGGATCGGAATGGGGGTGGGGTGGGGGCGGCCGCGGTACCTGTGGTGGACAGGACGGTGCTAGCGAAGAAGAGCGCCGAGGTGAAGTCCCAGTTCCAGTTGCCCGAGGCGTTGCTGAGCACCGACACGCCGTAGTTGCTGGCCTCCAGCACCCGGCCCAGGAACTGCTCGAGCTGCGGCTCCGACAGGCACTCGTGCTCCTCCAGGAAGCGCCGCTTCAGCTTGCGCAGCTCCTGCCGCAGCAGGTCCTCGTAGGGCAGCTCCACGGACGAGAAGACCACGGCGCCGAAGACCAGGTAGAGCAGGTAGCCGAGCACCAGCAGGCCGAAGCACCAGGCCGAGCGGTGCCGCTCCACCAGGCGCACGCACGAGCTGCCGGCCAGGGACTGCAGCATCTTCCCAGCCGCCGAGGCCGCCAGACTCGCGCCGCAGACCGGCCGAGCGCGGCCCGCCGCCCAGCCGCCCCGCCGCCGCCTACCGCGATTGGCCCGCGCCCGCGCTCGCGACGCCTTTCTGCTGTCTTTTCCTGTTTCCTTGCAACACAAAAGCCCAGATGATGTGGCGGTGACGTGGTCGTCGGCTCAGGTAACCGAGAGCCCGAGGACACCGCGCCCAAACTTGGCAGAGGGCGCAGGGGGCTGGGCTGGGCGGACCGCGACGCCCCCGCCCTCAGTGGTCCCCTCCCGGGTTCTCCTAGCCCCGCCGGGCGGCCCGGGTGCGGGCGCGTGTGCAAGCGTGTGTGTGTGTGTGTGTGTGTGTGTGTGTGTGTGCGCGCGCGCGCGCGTAGTGGGGCCACTTCTGGGCCGCGCGCTGGCCGCCCCAGCCCCCGGCTGCCTTACTCTTGTTCCCCACGTATTTCCGCCGAATCAAAGCACGCGTCCCAAAATCCTCACCTTCGGCCAGCGATCCGGGTGAAAATACTAGAACCTCGCTAATTGAAAGGAACCTTGAATCTTCCTCTGACCACCCCCCACCCCCAGGATCTGGATGCCACGGAGAGTTTTAGAGAGGTGGTTTCTGACTGCTATTTTTTTTTTAAACGCGACCTCAGGTTTTATGGCAAAGTCCCAACATGCCGATGCCGATTACCAGAAGAAGCAGCTTTCCTATGTACTTCTTTGGAAATGCCAGGGAGGGTCCTCAGCCACTTAGCTGTGGGCAAGAGTAAAAATTAGCGCGCTTTTTCTGGAAAGTAACTTGGCTGTATCTTTCAAGAATCTTGAAAGAAGAAACGTCACTATTTAGAGTAAGGGGATCAGAGAGAGAAGGGAGGGTAATGGAGTGTATGTGATCGAAGTATGTATGCGTGTATCAATATGACACAGTGAAGCTCGCTCCATATAATTAATATGCACTAATAGAAAATATACGTGCTCTGACTCAGTCATTGATAAGGAAAAAAATACTAAGAGGCAAACTGTTTTCCACAAGGATGCATAAATATATACCTACATACATCTGAATATATGTATGTATGATATATATACATATATGAAATAAAGAATCAGGAGCATCCTAAATGTTCCAAAATAGTAGAATGGCTAAATAAGTTATGGTATCTCAACATCTTGGGTGGCCCAAAACCTTTCAAGTTATGTTTGAAGACATAAACAAAATTGTGTAGAATCTTAAGTATGTAAAATACTTGTATTTTGTGTTGTAAAACAGAATTGTAGCTGTATAAGAGATTGACTGCATGAAAATAAAACCAGCCCCTAACTGTGGACTAGGGGTGATAGTGGATTATAGAGTTGACTTTCATTTCTTGTATGTTTTCATCTTTTTAAAATTTTCTACTGTAGACATACTTTTGTAATCAGGAAAAGCATTAAAAATAAAATTGAGTTGTACAGGTTTTTTTTTAGAACAATTGCTTGGGGAACATCAGCCTACATAGTGAAATTCAAAAACACTTATTTTTTATTTTCATAAAATGCTCATAAAGATGTCTAGAATACTCATCAGTGCCTTCCACCCCAAGTACTGGGGATAGAACCAAGTGCCTTGCAAATGCTAGGCAAGTGCTGTTACATTCCCAGCTCCTTTCTACCCCCACGTTTAGACAGAGTCTCCCTAAGTTATCCAGGCTGGCCTCCAGCTTGCAATACTGCTGCGTCAGCCTCCTGAGTTCCTAGGATCATCAGTGGTTTTTAAATCGCAGCAAATAATCTCACCTCCTACCTTACTCAGAAGACTGAAGCCATCCCTCCCCTTACCTCTGTGATATAGGAGATAGGGTGTGGCAAAGCTGGCTGGGGAAATGAGCGGGCCTGTCAAATACAAGATACCAGGGCAACTCGAGGACTCCATATGTAGAACTTTGGAGCTCCCACAAGATGTGGACAGCATAAAAAGGACCAGCCATCAGAGAAAACCCCTATGGTGTGTGAGTTTGCATGGTAGCCCATGCTATGTCTGAACATAGCACTTTTGCTTTTAGTCTCTTTTTTCTTTGGCCCAAGTTGCTCTGCAGAGCTGGTTTCTCCCATACCCATTTATTCTGCACTTTTCAAATAAACTTTTTGGTACCATTATTGGCCTGTCTTATCCAATTCTTTGTTTGAGGCAAGAAGAACCTGGAATACTTTTGACTGGGGAGCTATTTCTAAAGAAACCACCCTATAACATCTGCACTTCAAAATCACATTTCTTCCTTCTCTCTCACCCCTGAAGAAACACTTCCTTACTTTTCCAGATGAAGCCATTAGTCCACCACCAAGAGTCCCTTGGCCTCTGAGAATACTGAGTCAGTACTCAGCTCTGAGAACCTGAGTCCTCTTTGCAGCTCTCTCCTCCTCCATGTCACCACAGGTCTCCATCATACACAGTCTTCTATGATTATCTTTAGACTATGTAACCCAGCCTGTCCCTAATCTTTGCTGATGTGACCTGCCAGACCCTCTGTTCCTGAGGCCACCTGTCAGTCCACTTGCTGTTGCAGAATTTCATCTCCTGTGTCTCCACTCACAGGCTCCTGCTGCCCCACAACCACCTGTGTCTGTATCACAGTGTAGATGCTTTCCTCAGTATTGTCTTGCATGCCAACCTTATCCAGGAAACCTTCAGTGCCCACCAGGATGGCATTTCTTCTCTCTCCACATGTCTCAGTCTGGGAGTATCACAGGCTGTGGGGCCACTAGTGTAACTACATGCCCAGGTTTGATGAATCATCACACACTCAAGTTCATGTGCATGTAGATGGTAGCCTTTAAAAGTTGGTTCTTGCTGCTCATCTCATTAGAAAGCAGGGTTTGTGTCCCCTATTTTTGAAACTGGGTAACTTGTGGCTACTTCAACCCAAAGAGCACGTTGAGAGATGACAATAGGTGGTATCAAAGTCTTGGTCATAAAAGGACTCCGGCTGCCTACCTTGGTCACAGGAACACTCCTCTCTTGTAGCCCTGAGCCTTGGTGGAAAGGCCGCATATATGTATCTCAGGTGTCAGTCCAGTTGAGCCCAGCCTCTGACCATCCTCAGTGAGAGAGCAGAGAAGGAATGTTGTATCTCTAACACTGTAGACTGGATCACCAGGTGCCCTATCTCTGTCCATGCACCCCTGGTCTAGATACACTTCCCAGCAGAGTTCTACCTGCATCTAGAGATATAATCAGATTGTTGTTTTTAATCAGTAAATTTTGGATTAGCTTATTACACAGTGATAGACAACCAGAACAGCATACATCTGGACTATGCTGAACTTCGAAAATCATCATTGGAAGTTTTTCTCAGATCAATTTGCCATCCTTTTCCTACTTTACTTCTCTGGCTGAGACTGTACTCCAATTCTATATTACAACTGGGCCCAAGGGCTGGGGATTTAGCTCAGTGGTTCTGCCACCTGCCTCACAACTGGGCCAAGGAGACTAGATACTTACAATATATATTACCCTGAGACTACAAGTAGAAACTGGAAACCTGGGAGTGGTCTCTTGGGGCCTGGGTCTGCCCTTCAGGGTGAAATCCATTGAGCAGACCTGGTGTGGGAATGAGGGTTTGGAAGACTTCCACAGCTCTGGGCATTATAGCTGTCTGTATCCCAGTGATGGAGATGGGCTGATGGGCTGTTTCCCTTCCTCATCCTGGTCCACTGCTCTGCAGTCCATCTCCAGGGAGGTTAGAAATCTCAGGATTTTTTTTTTTTTTTTTTGGTACTGGGGATCGAACTTGGGTTCTTATGCTTGCAAGGCAAGCGGCAGAACCACTGAGCTAAATCCCAGGCCCAGCAATCTCAGGATTGAGGATTTTTTTCCCTTCCATTGAAACTTCTACTCAGTGCTTTGCATGTGCCTCACTAGCTACTTTCTGTCCTCTTTCCATGGAGATAAGCAGCCACATAAACTGGCATCTCTGCTTCCTCTACCTCTGTCTTTAACACTTCTTAGAAGAGAATGGACTATGGAAGGAAGCTCAGAAGAGGGCTGAGATTCCCCAGAGGGCAGTGAGGGTGAACTGGGGGATGTGAAGAGAGGATGTGCTCCCCGTGAGGGACATAACTTGTGAACAGGTAACCCCTTCTTGACAAACAAACTTGGCCTTAGGACTCAGGATCCAAAAGATTTCACTATTGTGTTATATGATAATTAGGCACAATGGCCTTGTTGATCTAACACTTGCTAAAGATGATAATTCTTTAAGAAAGTCTTGGGCCTGGGATTTAGCTCAGTGGTGCTGATGTTTGCCTCCCAAGCACAAAGTTCTGAGTTCGATCCCTGGTACCAAAAAAAAAAAAGAAAAGAAAGTCTTTCACTTGGGATTTAAAAAATGAAATTTACAAATTTAGGGTTGAGGAATCCAGTCAATCAGCAATAAGCACAAAATTATGTTTGTAATTCACTTTTGGGCCTATACCCAAAAGAACTGGAAGTAGGGAAGTGAAGAACTGTCCATCAACGGATGAATAAGTACACAAAATACAATACATGCTTACAACTGAGTGACACAGGGTTTTTTTTAAATTAATTTTATTGGTACATTTTAGGTATACAATATGAAATTCATTCATCATTGGAGATTTGTACCTTTACATAATATATCTTGATTCTTATTTTTTCCCCATTCCCCTGCCCTCCCTTCAACCCCTCCACCTCTCTATATTTACAAAGACTTTGTTTCCATTTTTTCATCTTTCTCATGTTAATTCCATTGAGTGATACAGTTATTTTTTTTTTTTTTGGTACTGGGGATCAAACTCGGGTCCTTGCGCTTGCACAGCAGGTGGCGAAACCACTGAGCTAAATCCCTGGCCCATATATATTTTTGCTTTTTGGGTTTTTTAAAATTTTTTCTTGCTGAGAACCGAACCCAGGGCCTCATGCTTGCTAGGCAAGCATTCTACCACTGAGCTAAATCCCCAGCCCCTTAGTGATACAGTTTTTAAAAGGAAAAAAATTCTGACTCATAAAGACGAATGAACCTTGAGGACTTTATAGTGAAACTGAGGTAGGATGGAAGAAATAAAAAGCTAGGTAGAAAGGAGACAAAGAA